AAGCATCGGCGTCTCTTTTGGAGAACTTGGAAATCTCAGAGTGGTTATGGTCCTTGTTTGGCCCCAAAAGAAGATATCTTCCATCCAAACAGGGTGTAAACGACGAATGACTCCCCTTCAGCAGCTTCAATCCGTGCCGCGGCAGCTCTAATTCTCTGTTAGAAGGAGGCGCAAGGCATAGTTTGGTAGAAAATTAAATTATTCGAACATTTCTACGATGCAAATGCACAAATAGACAAATGAAGAGATGAACAAATGTGTTTTACTTGATGATGGAGGGGCGGAGGAGGCTCTGGAGGTAGCTACACCGAGAGAACTTGAACCCGGGAACGAGCTCCTCGGTAACGGCGGCCCCGCCAATCACGTGCCGCCGCTCAAGGACGGCGACGGATAGGCCGGAGCGTGCGAGGTATGCGGCTGCTGTGAGGCCGTTGTGGCCGCCTCCGATGACCAGAGCGTCCCATTTCTTGTTCTTCAACGCGGTTGTAGCGGCGGCGGTGCCGGTGCTGCTGCTGCTGCTAAAGCTCCTCCGCCACATTTTTTTCCTCTACTGGGATTGGCTTTTGCTTTCGTTCCAAAAAGGGAAAACTCAACCTTTAATTTTGAAAACTAGTAGCATTTTCATATATTTGTTTTTTTTTTTTTTAAGGGGCAATTGGTGGCAAGTTACATTTATCTACTCTTTTCAGGTGCCATGAAGATTTATAAAGGTATTTCAGCCTTTTTGGCCACAAATTTACCTTCTACACCAGCAGTAGGTTTCGAACATATATTTGTTACTTGAATTAAGGTAGAATATTTTACAAATATATTTATGTTGATATATTAGTTTTTTGTTGCAAAATATTAATTAGATTTTTTGGAGTTGGAAATGCATAATTTTAGAAATTTTTTATTGATTTATTAGTTTTTTGTTGCAAAATATTAATTAGATTTTTTGGAGTTGAAAATGCATAATTTTAGGTATGCCCTGATCGATGTATTACCACTAATTAAATATAGTTTCGGTAAAGCAGATTAATTATTCACTTTCAATTAACTTCTGGAAAATGTTATTAGCACTACAAAAATCTCATTCGACACTCCTGGAATGCCAAATGAGATTTTTAGAGTGCTAAGAATAATTCTCTAACTTTTTACTCCTCCTATTAATTATATGTTGCTTATGCACCTTGTTATAATCTTTATTGATTAAAATTCAGACTTTCGTGCAAACAGGTTTTGGGAAGCATGATGCGTTCTAAAAGAAAGTGCACATGAATGGTTATCAATTCAAGAAAAGTAAAATATGGGAATTACCGGAAGGAGATGAGAGAATCGTGTCGATTTTAAAAGCTAAGATTTGATAATGTGAAATCACCACCTTCGAAACAATGTTTTGCATATATATTGCTCCATATTCGAAAAGATTTTAACTTTGAAAGGGATGATTCAATCCAACTGTGGATGGCTCAAGGATTGCTCCGCTCTCCAAGTAGTCGAGAGATGGAGGATATAGGTAATGAATATTTCAACTGTCTATTAACTCCTTTTTTTCAAGATGTTACGAAGGATCGCTACGGGTTTATCATCAGATGCAAGATGCATGATCTCGTACATGATCTTGCAGAACTAGCGTCAAAATCTGATCGAGAAGATGAACTGAACCTCCTAAAGGAGCCACATATTCCTTCAATACAACAAAGAAAAGAAACGTTGAGAAGGTGCGCTCCCTATTTAAATGGGGAACTTCTTCTCAAGCTTCAAGGCTTTACATATGTTAAATCTATTCTGTTATGATCTTAAGGAGTTGCCCATTTCAATTGGTGACCTAAGACACTTGAGGTATCTCAACATTTCTAGAACAAAAATCAGGGTACTTCCCAAATCTATTGGCAAGCTCTAAAACCTCCAGACGTTAAGAGTGTTGACACCGACGGGATCTCTCGAGAGTTCAATGTTTCCAATAGAGCTGGAAATTTTGATCAACTTGCGACATGTTTATTTCCACAAGTGTGTGGTTCCGTTTGGGATGAGATGATTGACATCCCTTTCAATTCGCAACTTACCTTCCCTCTGCGAGTTGCATATTTCGAATTGGCATGGTTCAAAGAATCTGCAAACTACATCTCCTGACGAGGAGGAGTTATCTTTGCACGGTTGCACATCCCTCCATCGAGTGAACATTGTAGAGTGCCATGGATTCACAAGCATGCTGAGCGGACTATGATCTTGTACTTCTCTTCGCTCGCTGTGTATCCATGACTGTCAAAATTTGAGGTGCTTACCGGTTGACGGGCTTCAGTCTTGTACTTGCCTTGAGCATCTGGAAATAAGTCGTTGCCCTAAGCTAGAGGCTCTTCCCAGTTTAGAAACCCTTGCATCTCTCCGTCATTTGTCGATTGAATAAGATGTTGCATTTGGAATAATTTGCGGGCTTTCAGGAGGCTCTTGTGTACACTAGCTATGCATTGAATGATATCAATTAGTTAACAAGTACAAACTTAGTCCAGGTACTAGTATTTCTTATGTTTGCTTCTTTAAAGCCATAACTTTTTTTTAATACAAGCAATATTTTACTCTAAATTACACTAAGACAGGAGCGTTCGAACCAGACATGAAGAGAAACGCTCCATCTACCAAAGCAATCCACCATTTGTAGGCCTTAAAAGTTATTAATTTATCCTTAATTTATAAAGGAAAGTTCTATTCATGCACCAATTTTTAACTCCCACACACCCTTGTTAATTGTAGCCATTGATCTTCTTCAATTCATTCGATCCCGCAGCTGAAAATTAAAAGGGGTATGTTTGAAGTAAAAATGGATGTGTGGATAGCACTAGTCTTTATAAATTAAGGATAATTTAGGGTTTTTATTGTAAAGTTATTTGAACACAAACCCTTCTTTAAGAAGATGAGCGTAAAAGTATTTAGAATTTTAACTTCCCATGCGTTTACCAACACATGGTATTAAGGGCATGTTTTCTTACTTGGTGGGGACAAAAAGGAATAGATATGAGAATAAGTGAAAATAAAAGCGAATCGAATAGATATGAGAATGAGTGAAAATAAAAGCGAATCGATACGAGATAAACGACCCACTTACTTTTTCATCCTTTGAATGTCCTTGTGAGCTAGAAAATGTTGATGCATTCTCATAGAGTTTAGTTTGAACTTATCAAATGACTATTTCTTAAGCATTAAGTATCTTTCTAGTTGGTCTAAAGCCTGAAAGTAAATTACAAAGGAGATCATCACTTTTGGTTTTAGTTTCCTTCAGGGCTACGCCTAGGGTACACAGTTTAACATGTTTAGAGTTTAGTCAAGCCAAAAGATGCTTTCATGGGGAATTGCCCCAAGATAAGCACAAAAGGACATATCACATAATTTTAATTAAAATTCTCTAACATGATTATCTTTTACTAATTAAACTAATCGATTTGCTCCAAAAGAGGATAAAAATACCTCATAAGAACAAGTTAAAAACACAAAGGAAGTACTTCCTTTACCAAATCCGCCGATTTGGAAGGTGGCCAAGAAAAGTTTAGCCAAAATGTGATTAAACTTCACATGGGGTTTAAAAGATATGTTCCACACTTAATCAAATAGTATATATTATAAACCTGCAGCTTGACAAAGAAACATCATTTTTCTTAAGTTTTATTTGTGTCCGTTTTTGGACCACTTCCACATATTTTTTTTTATCTCATTGGTGAATCAAAAAACCAAATTCTAGGCTGTAGAGTGACAAAGAGGATAGAACTTACCTGCAATGGAGATGCCATAATTCAAGTCAATCATGGACTGCCATGCGTTTTAACATTCCCACAAGGCAATGCCTTTTGGACTTGGGGTTACTGCTACAATAGTACCCCTGTTGCACGAAAGTCTTTCTCCACTGAAACTAGAATGCATGTTTAGGTAGGACTAGAGTGCATCAAATTTTATATAGTAGCTAGGAAAAAGATGTGATTTGATTCTTGTAAGTAACCACAATGTGGTCCTGCCACTTCCAGAAAACCAGGGAGAAGTTATTTAATGACATAAACATGCAGAAGATTTGAGCTAAGAAGTGGAAATGTCTTGGAAACAAATGCTTCAAGGATGCACACATACACATGTTTATAACAACAGTTGCTTCTTTTGTATCAATAAATATCAAGAAAGAAGTTGTTTGGAACACACAACTGGATTTTACAGCTCTACATTCATTTCCTAGGAAACTAAGACATCAGAAATTAACAAAGCAGGTATATCCAAATTCTCCTAACCAACACTGTTTTGCAATGATTTAAATTTAAGGAAAGAATTTCAAGATTTCAGTCAGTCAAGCAACCCACTACTAATAACACCGATATTATCCCAACCTAACCATCTGCACATCCCTGCAAGTGTCGAGTTTTATCACAAAAGACCTTGATACGATTAAGAGTAGAATGATTCAATATAAGCTTTCATTTATTCTGTCAAGTTTTCTATATAGGATTGCATTTTTCACTTAAAAAAAAGGCTTCACGCTGACATCTAAGAATTCTCAAAAGGTTAGAGGGTTCACTTCTTTTGACAATGTTTACTGATTCTTTCTACTTACGAAATCACACATGCTTATATAATATTTATATTAGATCATCGTACTTCCAATCATAAAAAAGTAAAAACTTGAAAGGGAAGCAAATTACCGTCCTTAGAGATCTATCTGTTCCTAGTTTCTGCTGCTTATTCTAAGCATATAAAGTTTTATAATATGCTATCCTTAAGTCTTGTCTGCCAACTTGCATCATCTCATTTGTATGAACTGTAATTCTTTGGTCTCATCTTCGCTAATCGCTTGACTTGGAGTACTATACTACCTTTATTCATATTTTACTTTCTACACTATTTGTTTTCTCTGCCTCCGGCTTTCCCTTTAAATTTCTTCGATTCCTTTCATCGCCCAAATTCGTTCTCTCTTAAATATCCTACCGAAACTTGGTTCTCGTCACTTCCAGCTCCACCCTACTAATCTTGCTCTAATATCTCATAAAAATGGCACCTAGCACGCTTTCTTCTCCACACTCCAATTCAACTTGGACAGCCAAACAAAACAAATCATTCGAAATCGCTCTGGCAACATATGATAGGGAAACCCCTGATCGTTGGCATAATATTGCCAGGGTTGTTGGAGGGACGACTGAGGAGGAAGTGAAGAGGCAGTATGAGATCCTTCTAGCGGACATCAACCGCATTGAGTCAGGCAAAGTTCCCCTTCCTAAGTACAGGAAAGTCGGAGAAAGCAGCATCAGCAGTGAAGAAAAGAGGTAATACACTTTTTTATCCTTATTACTTGACAAGATGAAGACTAGAATTACTGTTCGTAAGTCCTTAATTGACCATATATAGACCTTACGGTATTCATGTCCACGAGATATATAACCAACAAAATCAGTGAAGCTCACTTCTGTATTAAATCCCTACTCAAAATATAAATATAATAATTTCTGGTCATAAACCTCTCAGGCTACAATTTGATACTAACCTTCTCATTCTTCATTTTGCATTGCCCTCACTTTTCATAGGTGGAGTTGCACTATCAACATGCATTATTAACTCACTACCAATGATTTTGAATAGCATGAATATAATGTCAATTCCAGTACCTATTTCTCGATTTGATGAAGGTACATGACAATGACATTATTCAGCTACTCACTGCTTACCCCTCGCTCATATCATTTGTTCCTATACTCCCTCGCTCATATCATATGTTCCTAATGATAATTAATTTTCAGCACTAGAAAGCACTTAATTCAGAAAAAATTATAAGCATCCTGTATAATAACTTCCATTTACCTTCTACAGGCTAAAGGCCCTAAAGCTATAAAGGAGCCCTCCAGCAGTAGACACAGCACCAATTTCCTCTTGAAGTGGATCTAGCAAATTAGCAGTTAACCTATATCTCCACTCCCTTCCCATTCCCTCCTACTTTTTTCCCGTAACTTCTACATGCAGCATACTTTTCTTTGTCTTGTTTGCACATGTAACAAGTAAGAATCTCTGCAGATGCAATTGCTTATTTATTTATTTATTTATTTATAATCATCATTAATTAAAGAGAGCATGTATTACTATTAGCACATGATCATTAGCTCCAGTTGCACAAGGTGGGTTGGGATTAGGGGGCAGAAATCTTAGGTTAAAAATTAAAGAAAGGAAGCATTAAATAGCATATTACTATAATTGGCTAGTGGCTACCAAATCCTTAACTTAATACAATAAATTTTTGCTCAAAAAAATAAAAAAATACAATAAATTAGATTCACACGAAACACTAGTATCATAAGGGTGTAAATAACCGGTTAAATCAAATTCAATGCCATCCAACGAACGACTATTTGAGTCATCAAAAAGTTTGCTCCAGTCACTCACATTAGCATGGACAATTTCTAGCAAATGATTGAAATATGAAGTCAATATGAGACCCACATCAATGAAACTCCAACGCGTGAGTAATTGACGCTAGCATTTCAATGTCATTCGTCAAACTATTGTTTCAAACACAACCTATACAGATGCTAAAGATAAAGATATCAAATTTGTCTTACAGTACTCTTTTTTCTCTGCAACCCAGAAAATAGAAAAGCTTGCAAATTCTTCCTAATCTGTAGTGGTTTGCAAAGGCAGGGGCTTTTCTCCTTCGTTTGGTCCGCCGCCACTCTTTTCTCTGTAAAGTTTTGCCCTTTCAAACATCTGCTTTGGACCAAAACCCAAAAATCAAATTTATTTCCCAAATTGCCCAATCATTCACAAACAGGAATCTGCCATTGCAATGCAAACAAGAGAGAGCGAGTGTAAAATCGTACCTTCCGCACCGTCTCTTTCAAGCAAGTTCTGTGCTCATCTATGGAAGCATGAAGAAATTCATGAATGTGATCCCTCAAATTCGATACGAAGCTGCCGCTCCCGAAATTCTTCTTCCTGCTACAAGAACTCATCGGCGCCCTTAATTTCAAAATTAGGTAACCTGAAAACGACGTCGGTGCGGTTTTTGGAGCACAAAGGGGCTGAGCGGAAAGGTGGGAGAAGGTTAAAAAGGAGGTAAAGACTCCAAACTGACGCGGACTTGGGGCGGAATGTAAAGGCAGCAACGGATAAAAACGACGTCGTTTCTTCTGCAGGATAGGATATATTCGGTGGAAGATTCGAATTGAATCGGGCCAACATGAACCCGTTAGGCCCAAAACGCAAAATGCACAGTCATAGCCAATACTGTTGCAAATTCTTCGCTCTCCGAGAAAGCAGAAAGTGAAAACAGACAGACAAAGATGTCATTTCAGGTTCGTCGCTAAATCCCGAATAAATGACAATCCCCTTCGCCATTCTAGCTTGAACGGTTAGATTCGGTGTTTAAAGGAAGTGAAAATTAGCGGCAATTTCTGATCTTTTTTGCGACAGATAATACTCGGGTCGGCGTCGGCGGCGCGCCGGCAAATACTGGCGGAGATAGGAATATAGGATACGAGTTCTCATAGTTTAAACTACTCTAATCTAATCGGAGTTTTTCGTTAAAGTAAATAATATCGTGAGCTTTTTATTAAAGTGAATAATATGATTTTTCGTTAAAGTAAATAATATCAAGAGTTTTTTATTAAAGTTCTCATAGTTTAAACTACTCTAATCTAATCTGGATTCAGACTCGGCAAGTGTCATGACCACCTGAACCACCCATAAACTAATTTTTAGTTTTTTCTTTTTAAATAAGTGGGTTAATTTTTTTCTATGTGATTTTCTTCTTAAAAGAAGTCAATTTATTTTTCTGACTTTGATTTAGGTGTGCCTTGCTTTTATTTTTTGTTAGGCAGATGCCATTCTTTCAAGGCTCCAAAGTGAAGGACAATTGGATGGGGAAGGTCCCGCTACAATGTTGATTACTGCAGACACAGTAAGTGTTTAGAAGTAATATTTGTTCATTTTTCAACTTTTTGTTGGAAATCGAACTAACTTAATTAAGCACAATTTAGTCCTAATGCGGTATGATAACTCGAAACGTGATGCTTTCTCATCCTCATCCATTGTGAAAATCACACAATATTGCCTAAATGATAGAGGACCCATGTAACCATAACTCTCATTAATCCTATTCCTAATTTGTATTCTCACTCAAGAGCCGTAATTAGCACTCCAAAACAATGTGAAGTGCAAGACGACTATTTTGAAGTGACAATAAAAACTCTCTTTTCACTATCCAGAGAACATGTTACCGGTAAAAAACACCCGAAACGGTTTTGCTTTTTTAGTGAATATCTCTTGTGGGGAATGTGCTTTGCAGTTGAGGTTATATCTCACTGCAAAATCTTTATTGATTTTGAGGTTGTGGTGTGTGAAGCATGGAATTTTATCAAAGGTTTGCTTAAAAGGAAACTGTCCACCACTTTCCCTTTGTTAAAGTCTCAGATGGATGTGTAGTGGTCAAGTGTTTATGGATGGATTGCAGGCTATTCTGGTGGTCAAGCAGCAGTTATAGGATCTGTACTTAAAACCAACCTTAAAACTGGAAAAAGAAAGGCGTTTGGCGCAGAGCGGAGGTACTGGCCCTTTCACTGCTTAAGCTCATTCTTTAACTGTCCTGTCCTGAAGCAACCTTCTTGTCTTTCTTATTCGTTTGTTCAAGGTTTTACTAACAAAGAATACCGATAATTGTACTGTTTAATTTATGGTTGGGTTGGGAAGCATAGTGGCATGTATTTGATGATTTTATGATGCAGGTTTATTTTCATGTCATACCAGAGGAGGTGATCGACAGCCTGGTAAATTTTGGATACAAATTCACTTTAGGCACTTCGTTGTGAACTATTATTCTGTGTTGAATATGGTTCATGAGTCTGATGTTCGGCCAGATGGAGGAGGGAATTACGCTTAATGTTGCTGGTGGTTTGATGCTGGAACATCCATTGATTTCTCCGTTTGTAGAAGCAGTGGTTAGCTCTCTCTTATCTCTCTATTTCATGTCCGCTCTTGCTATTCGCTTGATGCATCTTTACAGACTCGTTGTCTTTATCTCTTTGTTTCTTCCTTTTCTTTCAGCCTTGTTCGCTTTGCTAATGGGTTCTAAATTTTCTTTCTTATTCCGAGATTGAACTCGCAACCAAACATGCTCGAGTTTTGGCCTGCATATGCCATTTTGTCGATCAAAGTAGTTTACCTCAGTTGCGTCTTGATCTGTCCATCCAAATTTGTTTGCAATGTGCTTCATTTGGTTTGCTGCAGATAGGGACGATTGACACGGTTATGGGATTGCCTACAGAACTCACAGAAAAACTCATTCAGGAAGCAGTCTAACTATTGTGGAGCAGTGATCCGGTTCTTATTCGAAACATGGCAGCTGCTGATGAATCTACAATTTCCGAAAACTCTTCACCCGGTCATTTTTTATATATCATTCTTCTCTTGAGTATCATGGTTAATTGTAAGTGAAAAAGCCCACCTCGAGTGCAAGTGTAAACGCTCTTTCCACCTCGAGTGCTAGTGTAAACGCTCTCTCAACTTTACTCAGTCAAAAGAAAACATACATTATTTCAGATAGTAATATCTTCTTTCAAAACAGAATAAGAATACGAGTATAAACTTTGAAACGAACAGTTTAATCGAATTTCTCATCAACAAAAATGCCGCTCTCAAGGCGTTAATTGTAACGTGATACAGTTTCAGATAGTGAAATTCTCATGGCTGACATACAACTATACAAATAATTTTCTTTACCTTCATTACGAATATTGCATTTACCAGTCAACCAAATAATACACATATTACAAACAAGATGCCTTAACTGGGGAAGTCATCTCTGTTACGAGTATTGTAGGGGCGTCCCAAGGATTGCTCTTCATGTCGAAAAGCAGCTGTAGCTCACGGAGAAAAGTGTTGTCACCCGTGAAGCTTTGAGCATTTTAGAGTATAAACAGAGCCAACTCGTGAGCCTTGGGGCTTTGAGAAGATAAACCCCCCTCACAAACCCTGTTCCCACTTTACCGGCGTCGTTTAATAAATCAGTTGGATCTTTTACTTCCTTTGCTTCTCCTTCCCGCCCTCGTTTCTGCAAATATTAGGATCCGAAAATACAACTGATTAGGAATTCTAGATAGCAAACGATTTTTTTAAAGCTTTCAATGTCGTTTTAGAATGCACATTTATTCAGTTAGAACGGATCCAATTATACCTTTGAACCATATCTCCCCCACGTTATGCCAACAGCATCACCACCCAGAGAATCATACCACAGCTTGAAGGTGTTGGGGTACTCTTTCTACATTCAAGACACAAGGATGTAAGCAAAGACGACAGTGACAAGAAACATAAAACTGAAAGCAATGGCGTAATGGTCAAAACTAAGGCATCACATAATACTTGCCTCTAGATCCCCAACAAAGCACCTCAGTGGATCAAAGTGTACCAATAGCTTATTTCGTAGTGCCTCCGAGTTTCCCTTCATGTCTCCAGGCAACAGAAATGGGTGGAAAACCTTGCTCGCATTCCCACGTGCCACATGTACCCCTGCGCCTGTGTAAATATGCTCATTAAAACTCTGCAGATATACTAAAATTTGAATATGGCATTGTTAGAAAAGGAGAGAGAACAACATAATGCTGAGGACATGCAAACATTGGGGTAAGATGGGAAGAGAAGATGTTGGGGGTAAGGTAATTTTTCTCTGTGGAGAAGAATAACCGCATCGTAATTGTTCAAAGGAGTTCGAAAAAGGCACTGCAAATCAAAAAGTAAACAATAATATTTTGCATATATCAAATATACATCAAGGTAAAACAATTCACGGATCACTATCAATAAAATTTATCAGGCTCACCTCCCATCTATAATTATCATTATGATCCTCCAAAATCAGTTTGGTCAACAAGTTTGCACTGCTTCCAGCATAAGCCATCAACCTTTTTAACTCCTACGTATTCAACAAGATCAAAATGTATAAGCAATACTAAATAACATATCTATAAAAGGAGTTGCTGCACTTGGATTTCTAGAGTGCCAGCAATCAAAAATTCTATGGGAGATTTTTCGTTTGAATGTTCTGTCGGCCAATGGTATCAACAAATCTTAATTTTTATTACAATCATCAAAATAACAAAAGAAAGTCCTCTATGTCCATAATTAACAATTTCATGGAACTGAGTTTCAAACTAATATTCTGACATGACTGAAGAAATGAGAATGCATTCTTATAGAAAAGGAATGCATTGAAATGCCAGTAAAATTAAAAAACCTGGATCGGCTCAGGGGAAAAGTATCACAGGCCTGATTACTAGAGGGAGCGTCAAGAATTTACTAAAGAAAATTAACAGTGTTGAAAAAGACACCAATTAAACTAACCATTGAGTTTAGTGAGAATCTGGTCCAGGCCTCGGATGCCTTGTCGTAAGTTGTAGCCATGAACATTGCTGGCTTTACACTTTGCACATTTTCATTAGTTTTTCTACTTGACATAAAATTCTCCTGAAATCGAAAGCCAAATAGTAGCAGTCAAGAAAATAATAAAATTGTAACCAAAAAAAGGAAATAATAAAATCAAGAAAGCAAAGAGATCGACATGGATCAGAGTTTATTACTTAGCTGAAGAACTTACATTTATCTCTTTCATATCTTTTGGAGTCAAATCATTGTTTATGTCAACAACTAGTACAGAAAAATTCCAGTCATAAACTGAAAGTAATCGCAGGAACCTGTTGACAGAATTACCATGAATATGAGAGCGTGAAATACACTATTAAAGTTTGACAATAATTATTGTGTGCATGTGAGTGTATGTGCTACATCATAGTGTATATCTAATTGCCAGTTAATTTGGAATTATGTAGCTTGATGTTAATAATTCAAAAGTGAAATCAAGCCATTTAGAGAATCTATCTTTTAAAGCAGAAGTGTCGGTGAGAACTATCAAAATGCCCTGGAAATGAGTTATATAAATATCAACCTCAAAAATCCAGTGATTCGTGAGAATGGAGCATTGAATGGTAAAGGCTTCAAAAAGACGTATGCAACCAATAGTTCAATTGCCTCCTCCCTCAAGCAAGCTGAAAACAGATGTGAAGCTACCCACCGCTTTGCAAGCCTTCACATGAAACTAAAAAAAGTTATATGCAGTAACAGATAAAACAATAAGAGATAAATGAGAATGCAAATGCTATAACTCACCTAACAACTGGCCCATATGCTGCGTAACAACCCTGTAATCCATTAATCATATGTTGACTCTGGAAATAAAGTTCTCTGTCTGTATTAGAGACCTGCTTCACTTGATCATTTCCATCTGTAGCCAGTAAGAA